TTGAGGTATATTATGATAATCACTTTAGTTGTGGAGACTGATATTCAAAAGCAACTTCTTATGAAAGGAACAATACTTAACCCACATGGGGAAAGATATTTTTAAATGCCCTGTAGGACTCTATATTTGCAGATACCTTATCAGAAAGTTGAAAGTGATTAGGGATGGGGAATTATCTCTAAATTTATACTAGAGAATGTAAATTACATACAAACTAATGGGACTAAAACTATTTGATCTTTTAATATTTAATTAATGGTTCCCCATGGCCTTTTTATAGCCTATGTTCTATTGTGAGCAACAAGACTTTAATAAGCAGGTTTGGGACTTCCCATTGTGTAGCAAGATGTCATTGCTTTCATGACACTAATTTGGCTTTCATATGCTCTCCCTTTCCCTAGTCTCTTGCTACAGGGTTCCCTGTGTCTTGCTCTTGCACTGGGAACAACTAAATATATTAGTTATATTGTTATTGCCTGTGTGAGCTTCTTTCTGATCTAGAAATTAGATAGTTCACTGGGTAAAAGACTTTTTGACTCCCCTCCTTCCATTGAAATCCCTTGAAAATTATTATAAAGGTGATTTTCTTTCTGAGAGCAGACAGTTAACAATAATGAGATAAGATGTATTTTCTTCTTTCCAAGGAAAAGGAAATTTGCTGGAACTTCACAAATCATGCCTGATTTTTCTTACTTTATGTATCTACTGCAGAGCAATTCTTGTCAGGCCCTGATGACACTCACAGAGGCATCTAATGTCTGTGTCCCTAGGAGTATTCCTCTCATTACTGCACCCTCATCTCCCTGTCTAGCCAAGGAGTCCAGTACATGGGAAGATGATCACTTGACATGAGTATTGCTTATGTGATAACTGGCCCTCTGGCTAGTTCAGCTTAAGGAAATGCAAGGAAACAAATATTTATGTCTTTGAAATCTGCCCAGTAGTTTTGCTTCTACTAAAGATTTTTTTTTTTTTTTTTTTTTTGAGTAGGGTCCACTGGGCCACATAGCTATCCTATAGGACAGAGTAGAACTGCCTCATAGAGTTTCTATGGCTGTAAATCTTTACAAGAGCAGACTGCAATTTCTTTCTCCTAAGGAGCAGCTGGTAAACTATTGACCTTTTGGTTAGCAGCTGAATGCTTAACCACTATATCACTAGGGCCCATCTTGTAGGATATACCCAATAATCTATCTGACTAGTCTTTTATTGAGAGAATTTGGGTTGTTTCTAATTATTTTTTATCCACAAACAAGACTGTAGAGAATAATTGATACATATGTTATTTTGCACATATACAAGTATATTTGCAGTGTAACTTCCCCAGAGGTGCAATATTTGGTTCAAAGAATATATCATTTCTCATTTTTTTTTTTTTTTTTCGCTCATTACTTTCCATATGGAAGGAGAGCTCTGGTGGCATAGTGCCTAAGGCATTTGACTGCTAACCAGAAGGCTGGCATTTCAAACCCTTCAGCCACTCCTAGGAAAGTAGGTTGGGCAATCTACTTCCGTAGTGATACTGCCTCGGAAACCCAAGGAGGGGTCACTATGAGTCGGATCCATCTCCAGAGCAATGAGGTGGGGGGGTTCCATATTGAAGACAAGGAAGGCTTTGAAAAATTCTACATTGTTATATTCATCTTCACATTGTTGTGGTACAATGTGTGGCATAGAAAGCACTCAGTAAATGCTTATTTTAGGATTATTGCATTATTCTATCTCCACTTACTTTTTTTTCTCCTGAAAAGTGTTATCTTTACTACTGAGTTTTGTTAGCAAAGGCCGAAATTATGTGAATACAGACAGAAGGGAAAATATCTGTGTGAGTCATCAAAAACAAAACAAAAAACTTTTTTTAGAGGACTTTGACTTATGCGCCTGGGAGAATCAGGCTGCATCGTGTGGAACCGAGGCTGAGTGGTGGAGAGATTGTCATGGGATCATAGGTAATTTCCTACCAGAGTCCAGCCCCGCCAGTAAGGTCACTGGGAACCAATGATGCTGACACAAAGTGGTGCTCAAGGTGTATTGGATTAATGCCCCAGAATTTACTGACTTCATGAAAGTCAGGTTTCAGCAAGGAGCTTTGATGGCACAGTAGTGAAAGCATTCAGCTGTTAACCAAAAGGTCAGCTGTTCAAACCTATCAGTTCCTCCGCAGGAGAAAAATGAAGCAGTCTGCTTCCCTAAAGATTATAACCTGGGAAACCTCTGCAGCAGTTCTACTCTGTCCTATAGGATCATTATAAGTTGAAATTGACTCATGAGGTTTTTTTTTCTTTTTTCGGCAGTGAGTTTTATTTTTAAGGGTTCAGTAAAGCTGGTGTGGTGGTTATGTTTGTGTGTCAACTTGGCTGGGCCTGGTTGAGTGTCTGGGCCGCTGGGGGTAGTTATTCCCCATCATGAGACTGGCAATCAACTCCATGGCGAGATCTAGTACGAGCAGCTGAGTAGCTAGCTGCCTTTGGGATGTGGTCTGCTTCCTGTATATAAGGAGAAGCCTTGGGAATGGTCTCTAGCTTATGGCACGCTTGGACCCTGTATGAAGCTGTGTTGTTGCTCAGCAGCCTGCCATGCTCTGCTGACCTTGGGACTTACAATGGACTTGAATTAATGGCCTGCTGTATGGTTTGGCAACACTGGGACCGTGTCTTTTACTTGTCAACCTTGGGCTTGGCAGCCTCAGCAGCCAGCAGCTGTCTGCATGAAGAAACGCCTCTAGCTCCAGTGGGCCAGGAGCAGGAGGCAGAGCTGGACTCCAAGGTTGAGGGGCTTTCACCCAGCCCCTAGAGCTTGGTACTTTGAACTTGGACTTAAAGTCTCCAAACTGTGAGAGAATAAACTTCTGTTTGTTCAGGCCATGCCATTTGTGATATATTCCTGTCAGAGCAGCACTAGGTAACCAGAATAGATGGGATGCCATGTTAGCTTTCTGACAACAATTCAACCAGTAGCAAAGAATGATAGAGACCACTCAGTACAGTGTTTCTCAAATCTTATTGACTGTCTAACTCAATGGGAAAATTTGTTAAAATGGTAAAATCAGAATCTATTCATGTAAGGGATGTGATTATATTTTCTTAAAGATTTCCAAGAGGTTTTGTTCATCAGTGGCTAATAAACATTTATTTATTTATCAGTTATCATATAGATAAGGAAATGGAGGCTACCATCCACTGCTGTTTAGTCAATTCCTACTCATAGTGACCCTATAGGACAGGGTAGAATTCACTTAATTCCATTTTCAGTATGTTCTGTCCATGTTCTGGATGACTTGTGCTCTGTGGGGTGCAGGAAGAAAGCTAAGTAGGTGATGCTCAGCATCCCTTACCTCCACTTCATCTGCAGCAGCTCTGTTCTTTTCCTGCTTTGATTCCCTTCTAACTTTTTTTTTTGTTTTTTGACAACAAGACTCCATGACAAAATATTTCAGAGTCAATCAACATTTATCATGGGTTGAGAAAACAAGCAAACAAAAATCCTACAACTATCTCATCTCTGGGAGAAGGACATATTTAAGTGGATCCTAGACAGGCTAGTGTCTCTGATTCCTGTTGTGAGAGAAAGGTATCAGGCTGTGAGGACTAGGAATGCTAATTTTTAGAGACAATTAGGTGTTTGGCATTAAAGCCATATTATACAGAGAATGTATGAGAACTTGCAACCTGCTTATCATTAACATAGCCCAGAATTATAAATGATCAGGCCAGTGCTGTGCTATGGGGCTGGAAATGAAAAGTCTGGTGTCTTCTTTCTCTCTGCCACTTTTTAGCTGAGTGAATTTGTAGAAGTTTCTTCTGCAAGCTGGCCCCCAGTTACTCATCTATTAAATGGAATGGTTTAGATTAGATAATCCTTGGGCTGCCCATTGGAATCATTTGAGATACCTTAAAAAATACTAATATACTGATAAGTTGGTCCCATCTACTTGGTTTCTGATATAATTAGTCTGGGGTGTAGCCTGGTCATTGGGATTTTTTTAAAAGCTCCCAGGAGATTTTGATGTGCAGTCTTGCTTGAAAATAACTGCCTAGGGAGCAATAGTTCTCATAGTATGGTCCCCCTACTAATAGCATCACATAGGAACTTGTTAGAAATGCAAATTTTCAAGCCTCACACCAGACCTATTAAATCAGAAATTCTGGGGTCCAGCAATCTGTGTTTTATTCAGATAACTTGCCAGGTGATTCTGATGTGTGTTGAAGTTTGAAAATTACTGAGCTAGAGACTATGAACTACTTATTATAATAGAAGTCAATCTTTATGGTAGAGCTAGACCTATAAATAGGAATACCTACTTAGAAAAGGGTGAAGAAATTGAGGTGAAGAGATAGAGTTCATCTCTCAGAGAAAGTTGAAAGGTATTGTCAAAGACTGGAAGAAAGCATCCCTTTTGTAGTCTACTGCCGTGTGCTCTCTGAAGAGGGAAAGGGTGTCATGCAAAATGGAATAACTTGCTAAATGCTTTGAAATTCCTAACTAATGTGTTTGTTCAGAAAAAACTGGTCCTCTAAAACTGACTATCTTTATTTCTATGAGGAGCTCTGGTAGCGTAGTGCCTAAGGCTTTTGACTGTTAACCAGAAAGCTGGTGGTTCAAACCCACCAGCCACTCCTTGGAAGGAAGTTTGGGCAATCTACTTCCATAGTGATACCACCTCGGGAACCCAAGGAAAGGTTGCTATGAGTCAGATCCAACTCGACGGCAGTGAATTTGGTTTTTTGGTTTTTGGTTTTATTTCTATGAGAAATTATAAGTAAGATGATGGAAGACAGGATTTGGATATCTTTCATTTCACTCAAGAAGAGCACTTAGCATATAACAGAGCTCAAGACTAAGCCCTTGGACAGGCAGTGCATAGAACTAATAAGCAACTATAAGAACTGTTATCTTTCCTGATGGGCTTTCTGGAGTTGCTGCTGGGATATACTAATTAATCATAGGTATAAAAAGAGCTCACTTTTCTTTAAACTAGGTATTTTCTTCTTCCCACTCAGCCAGGGGCCATCGAGACTGCCATGGAAGATTTGAAAAGCCACATAACAGAGACTTCCGGAGAGACCATTCAAGGCTTCTGGCTCTTGACTGAGTGAGTAGTTATGGACAACCAAATGGCAGTGGAAATACAGTATTTTTTTCTTAGTTGCTACTATAACAAAATAGAAGATAGACTAGTGGGGAAATCTCTTCTGGTTGCTGTTGCTTGTTGTTAGTTGCATCAAGTTGATTCCAATAGCAACTCTGCGTGTGCAGAGTAGAACTGCTCCATAAAGGTATCAAGTCTGTGACCTTTCAGAAACAGATTGCCGGTTCTGTCTCCCTAGATACCACTAGGTAGATTTGTACTGCCACCCTTTGGCTAGTAGTTGAGCACTTAAACATTTATGCCAACCAAGGATCTTCTTTTGGTTTCTATGTAAGATAATTGATTGATTTATCCTGTTAGGAGTATAGTTTCCTGATCCCATAGCTGATAGTATGCTCAATTTTGACCCCATACACCCATTTCTCCGTCTGATCTCATTACTCAGCCAGCACTAAAACAATCTTAGGTCAGGCCCTCATCACTGCTCTTAGGGACTATTGTACTTGTTCCTTAAGTATTCTGTCTGGATCCAATCTCTCTCCTTTCCTGGTACTCTCTCTCCAACTACATCAGACTAATAACCACCTTGATGGAAAGGAAGGCTAGAAAATAGGATGAGGTTAACATATACAGCTTGAGTTTTATTTTATATACCATTATATGAGCAACAAAACCAGAGGAATTACCTAATACAGAGGTGATAAGCCACTTGACCAGAGTTAGGATAAAAATCAAGTCTAATGTGTAAGTCCTTGTTGCTTTCACTATTTAATAACTACTTCCATTCACCTCAAAGTCTTATGGTAGCTATAAGAATTTTAACCGAAAATGCCACAGTAAAAATAATACATTTATGTTCTTCACAGAGAAATGAGTGTGTGTATGGCCCTTCTTAACTTTCCCAAATACTGATAATGCCATGACCTTTACAATGGTAAGCAAATACTCACATGATAAAGGAAAAAGACAACTCTTTTCTAATATAGAACTCATAGTGTTAAACGGAGAATGCAATTAAAATTCCACTTCAGATACTTACTTAATAGGTTAAGTAAGTTGGGTTATCTGGCTCAAAAGCCTGATCAACAGGGATTCTAGTACAGAAGCTCAGCAATTCTTATACCTTGATTAAAGCATCATTTAATCTTTCACCCCTTTCCAGGACAACTTTGACTGAGTTTCAGGAAAGTAACATGTGCATGTAAAACATCCAGGCCATAAAAATAAAACCCTCAATCAATGAAAAGTAGAACTAGTCACAAGTCACTCCATTTGAGTGACCATAATGTATACTATTATTTCAAATGGATTCAAAGAACTGAATGAGAATGAATTTTTGAAATTCATCCTTCCTGTCAGTTTCTGGGCCTTTGCTTTCTCTTATCTAGAAGGGAGATGGTAATATGTACTTGAAGACTTCTTGTAAGGAATAAATGAGATAAACTAAACCAAACCAAACTCACTGCCATGGAGTCGGATTTGACTCATAGTGACTCCTCCTTGGGTTTCTGAGGCAATATTACTATGGAAGTAGATTGCCCAACCTTCCTTCTGAGGAGTGGCTGGTGGATTTGAACCACTAGCCTTCTGGTTAGCAGTCAAATGCCTTAGGCACTACACCAACAAAACTCCTCTAAATGAGATAATATTAGTAAAATTCTGAGGAAAGTTCTTGGCATATAGCATATTTTCAGTAGAAATTGGTCCTTTGTTCATAAATGTCATTAAAAGGTGGCTTTTTTTTTTTTTTTGTATTATCTTCATTTCTTTCTGTCCTATCCATCTTGTTTATTTCTGGATTGCTTCCAATGAAGGAAATTAGCTTTTCCCTAATTCACTTTTACCAGTCCATACTTCAGTCCCCTTTCATCTTCCTTCCCATTGCAAAGAAAATTTGACTTCTCCAAAAGAAAATCTGCTTTGATTAGGACAGATAGTTTACATAGATTCAGAAGTTCAAATGAGAAGTAAATAGTCACCTATTTTACTTCTATAATGTATCTCAAGCCTCAAGTTGCAGTATTAAAGGATTCTATGGGAAAAATATTGAATGACACAGGAAGTGTCAAAAGAAGGTGGAAGGAATACACAGAGTCATTGTATTAAAAAGAATCGTGCTGACATTCAACCATTTCAGGAGGTAGCACATGATCAAGAACTGATGGTACTGAAGGAAGAAGTCCAAGTTGCACTAAGGGTATTGATGAAAAACAAGCCTCCAGGAACTGACAGAATACTGATTGTGATAGTTGAAGATCTGTCAACTTGGCTGAACTTCACTTGTGAGTAGTGTTTCCCATGATGGATCACATGACTACGTCCTAAGCGGCCGGTCAGTCTAGGGGGAGTTTCCCCAGGGGTGTGGCCTACCTGTAATACTATCCCAGGAACAAACTGGAAAAAACAGCATTCCAGATATATGCTTCCTGGAGCGAGCAGCTCGCTGCGC